GTCGTCCACCGCGACCGACGAGGATACCGAGGGTGCCAGCACCTGCAACCGGTCGAGGGGCTCGAGCAGCAACATCTTGAGCATGAGCGCGGCGAACCCGTCGCCATGTAGCACCGCCTGCTCGGTGCTGATGGGGTTGCTCACCGCCTCGTCGAGCACCAGCCATCTCGGGGACCTGTACAGGCTGATCTGCAGCTTGAGCTGCCAGAGCGGGAAGCCCGTCTTCACCGCCGCGCGGATCAGGTGGCCGTGCTGCACCTGCTCGTACGCCTTGAGCAGGTCGAGGAGCACGAGCGCGGAGACCCAGCTGGAGGCGTCTCCAGCCTCGCGCCCTCGCGCCGAGGCCCACTCGCACTCGACCGCCTGCTGCCAGACCGCTCTCTCGCACCCCTTGCCCCTGGAGGCCCAGAAGTAGGGGCGGTCGTTCCTGCGTTCCCAGGCGTCCGCGAGCGGCTTGCGCAGCCGCGCCTGGACCCTGGCCAGCACGTGGATGACGGCGACGGGCCGAACGCCACCCAGCCGCTTGGCCAAGAAGACGATCTTGGTGTGCAGCTGCGGCCACTCTGCCACCTGCTCCACCGCCACCAGCATGTCGATGAGCGCCTCGAGCCCCTCGTCGCTGAGCTCCAGGAGCTGCCTCGGCTTGATCGCCTCGAAGCTCGCCGCTGTGCCCTTCCTGAAGGAGCGCAGGCAGCGGCGCAGCTCCTCCACCGACGGCCGCGGAGGCCGCTCGCCCAAATCGGGCGGCCACTGCAGGTCCGCATGGCCGCTCTCGACCTTCCATAACTTGCTCCACTCGGCCTCGAGCTGCTCGAGCTCTGTGCCCAGGCCCGCGGGCCCGCGGTCGCCGCTGCAGGGGCTGCCCTGCCACCCTACCGGCACCCCGGTGACCGCGTGGAGGCCAGCCGCCCCGCCCTTGAGCTGCGCGGCCACCCACGCGTCGAACTTCCGCCCGCGCTCGGCGAGATCGCGGCGCGCGAGGTCGCTGGCGTGCTGCTTGGCGAGGTCAGCCATGGTCGCCAGCACCAGCGGGTCCCACAGCGCCACCGCGCCGTGTTGCAAGAATCTGAGCCACCTGCCAGCAGCGGCGCTGAGGTGGGCCTCACAGTAGCTCCCCTCAACCTCCGCGTTGTGCTCCTCGAGCTCGGCCTCCTGCTGCTGCCCTCTGACCCTCTGGGGCGCCCTGGCCGCGAGCACGGGCAGGCGCTCTAGTGCCTCGAGCCGTGCACGCGGCGCGCTCCCATGGGCGGCGGCCCGCAGGGCGTTGGCCACCCTGGCCATCCACGCCGCCTCAGGGGTGAGCCTCGGCGACCTCGCGTCCTGCACCCCGCTCTTGAGGACCTTCTTGGTGGAGAAGCCCTCGGCCCTGCCCGCGTACCTGGAGCGCTCCTCGCTCAGCTGGTAGACGTCCAACCACTCCTCCTCAGCGCACTGGAGGAAGGTGCCGAAGGCTGCGCTGAGGGCCTCCTTGACTTCGCTCTCGGGTCGCCCCTGTACGCCTCCCGCTGGCACGCACCTCTCGCCCTCTCGGCCTTGGTGGGCCCGTGCCTCCTGCGGCTGGGTCTCGGCTGCAGCCCCTTCCCCCGCAACGGGTCCTGAGTGTGCTGGCTCCCGAACAAACGCCTCCCCACGCACCCTCGCTACTGCAGTTGCGTCCTCAGCCTCAGCAGGTGGCCTGGCAGGCGGGTGGTACCCGTCCTGCTCGTCCCGACAATCGGGCTCCCCCTCGGGCTCCCGCAGCAGCCCGCAGCCTCGCAAGGCCTCCTGCCACTGCGCCCCCAGCTGCCTGCAGTGCTGGCCCAGGCTGGTGGCCGACGCCGCGGTCGCCAGGGCGGGGGGCGGCGGGAGCACGCTGCCGCATCCTGCGAGATCTTCGCCTGGATCTCGGCGCGGGTCGCCGCGGGAATTTTGGCCTGGAGCGCGGCCCGCTCTGCCTGGATCTCGGCGTGGGTCGCCGTGGGAATTTTGGCCTGGACCTCGGCGTGGGTCGCCGTGGGAATGTTGGCCTGGATCGCCGCCTCTGCGGCTGCCAGCTCTGCCCCTGGCTGCCGCGGCTGCTCCTGCCTCGTCCTCCCCGCCGCGCCGCCCGCGAGCCTGCTGCTGCTGCGGCTGGTCGTGCCCTCGATCCTCTCGAGCCAGCTGCTGCCACGGCTGCCCGTGCTCACGGCTCTCGGGGGGCGCGCTTTGGCCAGCGGCCTCCGCGCAAGCCCCCAAGACGGCAGGGCCCTCGTTACCGCAATTTATCCCAGGATGCGGCCAACTGGCGGATGCTGTCCTTGTGCCTTGGGGACCCGCTCCCTGCGGGACTGGGCCCCCCAGGCCGCCCCCCACGCCAGCAGCCGCCTCCGCGTCCGAGAAGGCGTCGTCCGCCGCCGCGTCGGAGCCGTCGGCCTCCGCGTCCACGAAGTCCACGAGCGGCCTGAGCTGCCTCCGCACCTCCAGCTGCGCCTGTCTCCACCTGCGCGCGTGGTCCTTCACGCAGCACCCGTAGGGCCTGTCCACGGGGAAGGACCTCACCACCTGCGCCACCTTGAAGGCCGCCCTCGGCCCCAGCGCGCCGATCTCGACCACGACGGGCGAGTGCGGGTGCACAGGTGAGGCGGGCACCACCTGGACGCCCCGCGCTGCCAAGCCCTTGGACACTAGGAAGAAATCGATGACCCTGCCCGACACCGCGCACGTGGGGGCCAAATGCCTGACGACCACCGCGTCGAACATGGCGAGTATGCCGCCCTCGCGCAGCTCATCCTCTGTGAGGTTGAAGTCGCCGCCGACGACGAACTCCTGGTACTGCGTGAGCCCCTGCACGTTGCTAGCGTTGAGGCCAACGCCCGCCTCCAGGTAGACGTTGCCCAGCAACAGGCCTCCCCGCCGCACACCTGCCACCCAACAGATGTGGATCCTGCCTGGCACGATCACGGCGCCTTGCTGGTCCTCTACCTCGGCCAGCCCGTGGGACCGCCTGACCATAGTGATCAGGCCGCCTGAGCTAAGCCCCCCCAGCAGCTGATGGCACGGCTGGCGTGCCCCTCGCCCGCCAGCCCTGCGCGCGCAGCTGGGCCTCCGCGTCGCTGCTCCTGCCCTCCAGCAGCCTTGTCTCCTGCACGAGGACTGCGTCGCAGTCCTGCACCTCCTGCACCGCCAAGCACTTGTCCATGTTGCAGAACGAGTTGACGTTGATGGTGCAGAGCCTCCAGCTGCCGCCCCGACTGCTAGGAAGCTGGCGTGCCCACCACCTCCGCGGTGCGCACCTTCTTGGCCGCCTGCGAGGCTCGCTCCTCCATGAGCACCTCGGCGATCTTCCGCTTGTCTGGGTCGTCGAACCCCGCGGTGAAGTCCTTCCAGGCTTGGCCCACGTTGCCCTCGGTGGCCATCGGCACAGCAGCCTGGGCCGCGGGCGCTGCAGCCGCGCTGGTGGCCGCCGCGGCCGCCTGCGGCGGAGGGGGCCCGCCGGTTGCCTCCGCGGGCGCTGCCGTCTTGGCGTGGTCTGCCAGGAGCCCGCCCAGCACCTCGCCGATCTTGGCCACCACCGCGGGCGCCGCGGACGCGCAGTGAGGCTAGCGCCGCGTCGATCGCGTTGCGCAGCTGCCGCGCGGACGCCGCCGCGGGGGCGGCAGCAGCCGCCGCTGCCGCCGCGCCCTCCGCCTCGGCCTGCTTGGCGGCCTGGGCAGCCACCGCCTCTCTGGCCTGGGCGGCCGCCTCCTCCTGCTCGCGGCGCAGCTGCTCCAGCTTCGTGCCCAGCTCCGCCATCTCGGTGACGGCGGCGAGGGCGCGCGCCTTGGCCTGCTCGAGCTGGCCCTCCATCTTCTTGACCTTCTGGGCCTTCTCGTCGGCCCGCACCTGCGCCGCCTTGACTTCCTTGATCTTGGAGAGGTCCCCGAGCCCGTCTTGCGCCACCCGCCTGGCCTGCAGGATCTCCCTCTTGGTCTTGGCGTCGAGCAGTTGGGCGGTGACCTCGAACTGCTCCTCGGCCATGCGCACCAGCTCGAAGCGCACCTTCTCGCTGATGCCGTCGCCGCCTCCCCCTCCAGCGCCGCCTCCAGCACCGCCTCCTGCGCCTCCCCCGTCAGGCTTCCACCAGGGGGCCCGCCTGGGCGGCACGGGGGCGCCCTGCCCAGCACCACCAGCCCCAGGGCGACGAGGAGCGCGAGCAGGCGGCCGCACGATGAAGTCCCCCAGCACCGCCGCGGGCCGTTGCGCCGCGGACCGCTTGCCCTTGCACCCCAGCACACGGCAGGTGTCGCGCTCCCCGAAGTTGTAGTAGCCGCAGCCCTCGCACGGGCAGTACCAGCCTTGGTGCCCGCCAGCGCCGCCGCGCCCTCGCCCTGACGGCGCCATCGAGCCCGCCGAGGACCCGTGGTGGGCGTCGAGGAGGACGGCCGCTTGGGCGAGGCGCGCCTGCAGCTGAGCCGACCGCGCCCCCTTCCAGGCGCGGATGAGGGAGCGCGCGCTGGCGCGTTGGCGGCGCGCACGCCGATGCCACGCCTCCTCCACGGAAGGCGCGATGGTCCCAGCCCGAGGAGAGCTCGCGACAGGCTGGCTGTCGCACCCAAAGCTCTCGAGCCGAAACTAGGAGGAGGAGGAGGAGGAGGAGGAGGAGGAGGAAGAGGAGGAGGAGGAGGGGGAGGAGGAGGAGGAGGAAGAGGAG